TTGGGAAAAGTTTATGGCTCAGGTGTTTAGTTTGTCATTTTAAAAAATCAGGTGCTAAATTTTAAAATAGTAAAAATCAGGTTTCTACTTTTTATTAACTAATTAAATATTTAATTGTGTAATCTGATAGCGTATAGCTTATTAATTAGTTAAAAATTAATTTCAGGTCACAGCTTATCAAAAAAGGAAAATTGGTAGGTCACAATTTTTTTATCGATCACAGATCAAAAAAATTTTTAGGTCATAGATTATTTCGAGATCACGAATCTAAAATTTTATAGGTCACGAAAAAAATTATATGTCACAGGTCACATATTTTCAAATTGATTGGTCAGAGATAGTTAGGTCACAGACAAAAAAAGAAAAAAACCCACCGCCGCTGTTGACCCCACCACCAAATAATTTTGCCACCACCACCGCCCCCACATAAACACTCATCACCACCAACACCGCAAAATGGCCACCACAAAAACACCATCACCACCACCACACAGAACCGTCCAAACCCACCCCCAACCGCCAGATCTACCACCAAAAAACCATTCTGAAGTCCAGCAAAAATATCATTGTCAGCCTCCATACCTGGTGAAGTCCTCTCCCTATCAAACTACGACGCACTCCTCACAAATTCTAGGTTCCAATCTGAACCATGATTTTTGGAGGACCCAGTTCTCATTCCTCTTATAGAATTTTTTGACCCCATCAAGTTATATTCATCAGAATACCTTCTCCTGCCAGGACCTACATCCACAGCAGCAGTCCCCAAACGGGAATGAACTGCTGTACGACTGTCCATATGAATCTGCATAAAATCCTCCATCTGGTTCTTCCAGTCGCCATTTTGCCACTTTCCTGAAAGTGCATTTGGAGGCAGGATCGCTTTAGTAACTAAATATTCAGCTGCTAGCTTACTAGCTTCCATAAATATGTCAATCTCACAAAGAATATCATCGATCCATAGATCGACGACTGGTCCATGACTGATGGATCGCCGACGAAGAATATCATCGATCGATCGATCCATCAGTCGCCACTCGCAGGGAGACAGAGAGAGATGAGAGAGAGGGAGAGGGGAAGAGGAGTGGTCGGCCGATGATAGCTCAGCGCTGCTCCAAGGAGAGAGAGAGAGAAGAGAAATAGAGAGGGGCGAAGATTAGTAAATTAGGGTTTGATAAATTAGGATTTTAATATAGTAGTTGAGTTTTGCAAAAATAAACTTTAAACCTGATTTTTTTTAAAAGGAATACCTTATTTTTAAAAAGGTAAAACTAAATCCCTGGTTTATGTAATTTTTCCTTAAAATAATTTATACCAATGAAATATAGAGAAAATTCGTTTTTTTTCTCTCTTTTTTTAGTTGAAAGAAGATATTTTACACAGTGAAGCAAAATTGCACTTTTGTTTACAATACGTATTAGGACTGCAATATCTCCAACTTGACGAAAATGATGGGTGGCTTTGGAATCGGAAGCGTTCGGATGAGTTACCTCCGCCTTACGAGCACGGCGGAGGCACCGCTTCTTCGCCGCTCCATACTTCCCTTCAGTCTTAACAGCTGCCGCCTCATTAGACCCTTAGCTACCTCATGCTTGGCGGCGTCAGCAACGAAAAATAAAAAGGAGAAGGTCATAGTGATATCTGGTCCCACCGGTGCCGGAAAAAGCAGGCTCGCCCTAGAACTCGCGAAGCGACTCAACGGTGAAATAATCAGCGCTGACTCTGTCCAGGTTTAAGAATTTCTGCATTTACAAGCATTTTTTAGACTTAAATATGAAGAGAAATAATTACCCCTTCAAATTTAGATGGAAACGAAATAAAAAGAAATTATTTTAGTTAGTTTCTAAATAGGCTGTTATTTTTATAGGGGAAATTTGAGCAAGACTTGTAATTACTCTCTGTGGTACACTATAATTGCATTTTGTCCCTTGGTTTTCGCCCCGCCCTTAGTTTGAATGAAAGCTATCAATGTGGGTTTATATGTAACAGGTGTATAGAGGTCTAGATGTGGGATCAGCAAAGCCTTCTCTCAGCGAAAGACAGGTACCATTTGCAGTTTGAGCGACTTCATTTTTTCAAATGATGCTGACAATTATTACTTTATTTTTGTATTTTGTAGTTTTAAGATTTTTTTTATGCATGACTTACATGGGATTTTCAGGTTTTATATTTCAATTTTTGTATTTTTATGGTCTTTATTATTATTCTGACAAGGTTGGCCTCTTTTGTTTTGTGGCAACCTAATGTATTATTAACTGAGTTATTTAAAAGAATTCTGTCGTTCTCTCATGAATTGACAAATACCTAGCTATAAGCTGGAGAATTACATCCTCTATAATCACATTTGTTGCCAGTAGAATATGAGGAGGATCGTCAGTTAATCTTATTTTAGTTCTATTCCTTCCTTGAGTATTTTGAAGGCACAATATCTTCCCTAGTAAAGTAGATAGCATTTAAAGATTTTATTGCATGGTTTATTCTGTGCACCCGGATTTTGACTTTGCATTTGTTAATTTGACTAAGTTGCTGTAATTATATTGATTTTTTCTTCTTTTGCAGGAAGTGCCACATCATTTGATCGACATATTACATCCATCTGATGGTATTGGTTGCTGGATTGTATTGTAAAAGCTTAGCGATATATTAGTGTTAGATGCTTAACTGATACAGAAAATATTGTTAATATGCTAATATAGATGTTGATGCATCATTGGCTGTCAACATATATGACGGTATAATTGGTTTCACTAGTGTAGTTGAAAGTTTCGTGTCACCGTTAGAACTAATATTAGAGCGAGAAAGCCCTCTGAAAGTTCACCTTTTTAGTGGTTTAGATCTACATGTGGATTTGTTATTGATATTATATTTTAAGTTCAAAAATTTCCACGGGAACTCTTTCTTTCTCTTTTTGGCATTACACAGCTTTTATTGCTTTGGAATGATTTTGACTAAATCTTTATCCATTACTGATGACACATAAAAAATTGATGTGAGAATAAACACAGAGTAGCACACCTTCTCGTACTCAACTCGAATAGAAAACCTTTGCAGAACAATATACCTGTATTTTTTCTTCTATGAGATTTACCTTACTTTCTTAGAGTTTGATTTAGGCGTTCTTTAATTCTGTACAGATTATTCTGTTGGAAAATTTTATGAGGATGGAAGGCAAGTAACAAATGATGTTCTTAATCGTGGCCGTGTTCCCATAGTTGCAGGTGGTACAGGATTGTACTTGCGGTGGTATGTGTAGATGTCCTTTGCACGATAAATGTTATCTCATTTTTTTTATTACTTGAGCAAACTAAAAGGGTGAAAAAGCTTATTCCTCTTAGAGCCTTTATAAGCAATGAAAATGAGAAATTCAGTGTTTTGGACTAAAAGGACTACATGTGAAACCACTAGTAGTTGAAAGAATATTTGCCTCAAATATTGTATACCGTGGAAACTTGGTGAATACATATCTAATTTCATTGGTTCCCTTTTACTCTGTGGTTTCAACCCTTGAACTTCCCATCAGGAAATTAAAGAGCGAATACATTTTGCTAATTTTACAATAAATCTTGAATAATGACTTACTGTCTTTACTTTGTATGAAGAAAAAATACATATCTAGGTGTATCAAACTGGAATGGTCTTTAACAACCTCAGCCCTTCAGTAAAATTCTATGAGCATCACTGCATGGTTTTGTTAGTGGACAGTTGCAGAACCTGTAGCCTCATCATGATATATGGAAGCTTATTTCCCATGCATTTAGCAGTGTCTTTGTGCAGGTCAGATCAAGTTATCAATCAATTATAATGTTTAGTTTCTTGTTCTACTGTAAGAGAAACTACTTTCCAAGTTTTTTATTTATTTTGGTCATCGTTACTTCATTTGCAGTGAAGATTTGGACTAGAATTAAGTCATATTTGTTTTCGATGCACACCAATTGAAAACATTTGAGAATTTATTCCTGAAAATGTAAAAGAATTATCAAATGCTACAAGATTGCCATACACGATGATCTCTTGCTCCTATCATCGACCCTACATAGAAGCTATTTTAGGTTTATGTGCTCAAAGACTGGTGGCAAGGTTTAATGGCTCGATATTCTGGAGTTTTATTTGCGGTGTCTCTTGAATAACACAATTAGTAAATTATTCTCAATTGAAAACCAACTTATACATAATCAAACTTATATCTTTCATTTCTGATGCATCAGGTTCATTTATGGGAAGCCAGATGTTCCAAAAGCATCCCAAGAGATCACTTCTGAAGTGCATTCTGAACTTGCTGATTTTCAGAGAGATGGTGATTGGGATGCAGCTGTCCAATTGTTGGTTAAAGCAGGTGATCCAAGTGCCCAATCTTTAGCTGCAAATGATTGGTATCGATTACGTCGCAGACTAGAAATTATCAAGGTTGGTTTGTGATTTTTATTGCTATGAACTATGACTTTTTCCTCCCTTTTTCCTCCCTATTGTATATGAACTATGTCTTCAGAGAGATGCACTTTATAAATTTGAGTTTTAACGGTTAACTTTTTAAAGTTCTAACTTCTTATTTTAGTGAGGGTATCCTATGAAGATCTTGTTTTACTGTTTTGTTAGTTTTCAGTTTCCTTCCCTTGCTATTCGTTTAGAATTAGTTCCTCCCTTTCAAAAAATGATCATCGGATTTTGACTGTTGGTCAATTGGCTATTTTCCCAAAGCTAGATTTTACATTGACCTATGTAAGCTTTGAAATCAGAGTCTCGCTTAAAAAAAAATATTTCTTTGACTTGCAGTCAAGTGGAGCACCACCGTCAGCCTTTCAAGTACCCTATGATTCGTTTCGGGAAAAATTTGAATCAGACGAGGCAGATGCTGTTGACATCAACTCTGCTTCAGATGGGCTTCAGAAGAGTAAATCAAAGGATTTGGATTTGGACTATGAATTTATTTGTGTATTCCTTTCAACCCAAAGGTTGGATCTCTACAGATCAATTGATTTTCGATGTGAAGATATGCTTTTAGGTAAAAGAATGTCATGAATTGTACTGTCAATTTCTTTTTATGTGCTTTATGTTCCTTTGCTAGTCATATACATGTGACAACATAAAGTTCCTGAGTAAATCAAAGGATTTGGACTATGATTTTATTTGTGCATTGCTTTAGACCCAAAGGTTGGATCTTTTCAGATCATTTGATTTCTGATGTGAAGATATGCTTTTAGGTAAATGAATGTCATGACTTGTACTGTCAATTTATTTTTTATGTGCTCTATGTTCCTTTGATAGTCATATATAAGTGACAACATAAAGTATCACTTATATGCGTTCCTGATAACGGCTTCTGGCTGCAGGAGATGATGGAATTTTGTCAGAGGCAAAATGGCTTCTTGATCTGGGTCTTCTGCCGAATTCAAATTCTGCAACTCGAGCTATTGGTTACAGACAAGTATATACCTTAGTTTTATCTGATGCTCTTTTAAATTCCATGGAATCATCTATATCCGAGTTCTTCGGTGATGCCGTTGTTGGACATGAATCTATTATGCAACCATCGAGTTAATTTTCCTGTATTTATTATTATTATTATTTGCATTTTCAAGGCTATGGAGTATCTCCTGAAGTGCAGAGAACAAGGCGGTCAAAGTTCCTCCCGAGACTTCTATACATTTTTATCAGAATTTCAGAAGGCGTCCAGGTAACTTATTTTTCCCTTAGGTTATTGTTTTCAGGATATCTTTGATGTTGGGATAAGACTTGTGGTGCCAAAGTCATTTATGCCACAATTGATTTTGATTATGTGAACTGATTAGGATGAATATGATTATCTGAAAAATTAATTATGCAAGGCAATTAAAAATATCAATTTTATTTAACTTCATGTATAATAACGTGATCATATCAGCTTTCATTGCCATAACAAAACATCTAGTAAATTTGAGCCGTGATTAAATCAGTTTTTTCTGATTAATCAACCAAAATAACCCAACCAAACGGTTTCTTTGTATATGGAATTCACAATTAGAGGTCTTATATGGAATTCTCATTTAGAGG